TCATTATGGAGAACATCCAAAATAGCTCACACTGGAAAAAAAAAAAACCTTATGCACACAATGTTGACAGCCTTTAGTTCTTAAGGGGCCCTCAAAAGACATTGTAGTAGTCATTTTGGAGAGAAACCCTTCATGTATAATGTGGTAGCTTGAATAAGAATGTTCCAGACATGTTTATGGGAGTGGCACTGTGGGCAAGAATTAGATGTAGCCTTGTTGGAGCAGATGTGAACTTTCTAGAGGAAGTGTGACACTGTAGGTGGACTCTGAGCTTTCAAAAGCCAGTGCCAGATCCACTCACTCTTCCTCTGCACCTGTGGGTCAGGATGTAGCTTCAGCTACTGCTCAAGTACCATGGTCCCAGACATGATAATAATGGACTAAGTCTCTGAAACTGTAAGCAAGCCCCCAATTAAATGGTTTGTCTTATAAGAGTTGCCTTTGTCATGATGTCTCTTCACAGCAATAGAAGAGTGACTAAGGCATAGGGAATCTTACAAGTCTTTCAGTTATCCTTTTGTAGAAATGAAAGAACTCACTGAGGGTAGCCTAAAGTACAGAATTTGTGAGGTCTCCTTTATCATTTTGGTAGCATTTGAAAGAATGTATTGAGAGAACTCCTGGCATTGGAAAGCTTGTGGGAGTATTTCTTGATTCAACTCAAAATTTAAGAAATAGCAAGGTTTGGGAAATAAGTTCCATTAAAGGAGATACTTGATTTTAATGTGACAATCTCACCCACTGAGTCTGAGTGCTGTCTCAGGTGGCCATGCAGGGTGGGCTGAGATCCACTATGAATGTCACTATTAGGTGTGGTGGGACAAGCATGTAGTCCTACTTGGGAAGCTAGTAAGAAGGATCCCAAGTTTCCAGAACTGTCTGGACTATATTTTGAGTTTCTGGTATTCCCAGGAAAACTGGGTTCCCCTTTCGGAAATTTTATCTTGTTAATCATAGAATTTAACCATTCAACCCAGAAGAAATCTCCGGGACTATTTTTTTTAAATATTTATTTATTTATTATGTATACAATGTTCTGTCTGTGTGTATGCCTGCAGGCCAGAAGAGGGCACCAGACCTCATTACAGATGGTTGTGAGTCACCATGTGGTTGCTGGGAATTGAACTCAGGACCTTTGGAAGAGCAGGCAATGCTCTTAACCTCTGAGCCATCTCTCCAGCCCTCCGGGACTATTTTTTAAACTTGGAGTGAGTAGCAACTTACCAGGCAAGCTATAGGTAGTTGTATTATGTTTCCCCAAACTCTTTGTCTCCCTCCCCCCACCTCTGTGTGTGTGTGTGTGTGTGTCTGTCTTGTCTATCTGTCTCATCATCCTTCTTCCCTTTCTAACTTTTAAAAATCATGAGTAGTGTTTTTGCCTGCATCCGTGTCTGTCCTGCATATGTGTACCTGATGCCTGATGAGGCATTGGGCCCCCTGGAACTAGACTTATAGATAGTTTTGAGCCTCCCTGTTGGGGTGCTGGGAATTAAACCTAGATCCTCTAAAGAGCAGCCTATGCTCCTAACCATTGAGCCATCGTCTTCCTATCCCCTCTTGGATTCTTTGAAGTTGGCAATAGCTAGGTAATAGCTGCTAGCTTAATTTTTATTGTAGCCCAGAATAACTTCACATTCGCTTACAATGCTCCTGTCTTATTCTATAATCACATTTTGAAGTAGTATTTTGACAGGAAGTATATGTCCTCATTAAAAAATACACAGCAAAAAATATTTATTTTCCCATTACTTCATTTTAAGCAAACACTTTCCCCCCTATATTATTGTCTAGTCTACTTAAGAAGATATATGAATATAGTAACCTTTTGTTCCACTCTATTACACATATTTTATTAGTTTTTGGTAGTAGAAATGCCCAAGTGCAGCTTCAGGTTTATTTAGCCACCAGTGGGCATTCGACCATCAGACACTGCTGCAGTTTGACTTGGTTATCTCCTTGCCTGTTTTGGAAAGGTATAGGCTTTTTAAAGCAATCTGGATGGCAAACACGATTTCATCCAATACCCTCTGGGGACACTGCTCTCCCTTGCTCATACCCACACAGACGCGTGCGTGTAGACGTAATTAAAAATAAATATTTGTCTAAAGTATTTCGTTTTTAGTTTTTTTTTCTTGTCTTATTTTTAATGCAGGTGTGGTGGGGTCGTGGGCAGGGCCCAGGCCTTCAACGCATGCTCAGCAAAGTCTCTAAGATGCCTATTTAGCCCTGTGGTCCTCCTGGAAGGTGCTTGGCCTTTGAGGGAGACCACAAGAGCCACGGAGCAAAAAGGCAGATGCAGCGGCTGATTCTAGTTCTGAAAGGAGTTTTCCACCCAACCCCAAGGTCTACAGTTGCCTTCACGCCCTCAAGCTTTCTTCGGCACCCTGTACTAGCCCTCCATGGCGCTCAGACATGGGTCACAGCAGAATTCAGGGATCTGGAGAGGCCTATAGTCTGTAATATGATCTCTATCTTGCTTAGTAAAAGTTGTTTCTCTTGTCCCTCGAGCTCCAGGAGGCGGGCCTAGGGTTCGCTGGCCTATCATGGTCTTATTTGAATGCGTGGACTACCCAATGAGGAGTTTGCTCCATAGGTGAGGCTATTCGTGGTTATTAGGTTGGTTACTTTCCTTCCTGCATCCCCTCCCTGCCCCCCGACATTAGGCACGTTTGTGTTCTTTGGAAATAGATCCTAGATCCCAGACATAGGTATCCAGGTCGCCCTCACTGACTTCCGGAGCCTCAGAAGGACACCAGGACACCCAAGGCTGGAAATGGTGCGTGCTAACGCGTCCCAGGTATGCGGAGGAGGCAGCTGCGGTCTCAGGTACATGACCTCTTGCACGCAAATGAGTCTCATCTGGCTCTGCTGCGCCACGCTGCCCAGATTCCGCATGGTGGAGCTGGACCAGCAGGCAAAGCAGCGGTCCTGTCCTTACCTGAGAGCTCAGTTAGCTTAGCGGCCGCTGCCTACGGACACCGTAGAGGGTCATGAGTGGGCAGCCTTAGGAGTCGAACCGGAGCTCATGAGCCGAGGTGAGGGAGTGCAATGTGCGTGGGTGGTATCTGTTAGGTCACTGTCTCTCTCCCTAAAACTTCCCCGCACCCAATACAGTGTCTCAGGGCGCAGCTATCCAGAGGACCTGTAAGTCTGAATGTAAAAATAAATGAAGCAGAGAAGCAGCCAAACGTGATTACAACGGACTGAGACCACTTTAGCGGAACAGCGAGACACCTTAACTTTTCCAGGAAGATTGAGTGCACTTTAGAGGGTCTGGGGAACATGTATTTGTACGTAGGTAGCCACCGGGAAGTTAAGCTAATTTTTTTGTGGTTTGACGGGGAGCAGAGTATACGCAGGCATACTGCTTCTGGAGGCGAAGCAGAATGAATGGGATCGGGCTACACAGTTCTTTATGTCTAGTACACAGCCTGACTCAGTTCCTCACGGCCTGAGACTTTTATCCATTCAAGGAGCAGCACTTTTTAAAGTGGGGAAACCAGCCTTTGTGGACTCCTAGTTTTGTCCTCCCTTCCGGCTTTAGTCTTTGGTTGCTGTTTGTTTTTGTTGTGTTGGTTTGTCCACCAGAGCTGAAGGTTGTTTCTCCCTTCAGGACTTCAGCATGGTCGCCTGTGACTTGATGTATATCTCTCCCAAAGAATCGCTCCTCGGCTCCCTTTCTGCTTATTCTGTAACATTATTTATGTAACAGTAACCCCAGGAGTCTTGAGGCTGGTATATGAACAACAAACAGACATGTTTGTGTTCTTGAACTTGGCGTTCCCAACCTAGGCTCCAAGTCAGGCCCGCTCACCTGTTCTCAGTAAGCCAAGAAAAAGAGCCAAGTTATTAGTGAAAAGAGGAAAAAGATTAATTTCGTAAATGCACATTGGAAGAGGGACAGAGAGGTCTAGGGAGGCCCCTAAGTCTGTCTTCAGGGCCCTGAAGTGGGAAAGTTTAAAGAGGACCAGGTCCTGAATAAGCAATGCAGGTCCTGCAGTGCAGGTCAAGGTGAGGGCCCCACCCTCTGCTCACCCACCAGTGCGGGGGCTTCAGTCTCTTCCTGGCAGGGGGTCTGACAAGTGTTAGAAGGGTGTGAAATCCCTTTCTGAGAGACAAGCTCCTCCCTCTGATTGGCACCTTGTCCTTCTTTCAACTTGAGATTCCTAAGAAAACTCCATAGGGGGTGGGGGTGTCCATTGTTCAGAGTCTTTAGAATATCCTCAGTTCTGCCAGGCAGGTTACAGTCAGAATTTATTGACCACTCATATTCACCAGCATTGGTGGTGGTGGTAATTTACCAAACAAGCTAGACTTTTCTTTCTATCTGGGCAGTGGCAATCCAAGTGCTTTTATTCCAATCCTGGTATTTTTAAACTTGACAAAACCAAGAGTCATCATAGAGGACTTCAGTTGAGAAAATGTCCCCATCATATTGACCTATAAGCAAGCCTACGGAGCTTTTCTTGTTTGATAATCAGTGTGGAAGTGTTTAGCTCTCTGTGAGCGGTACCATTCCCACGCAGCTTGTCATAAAGTTTATAAGAAAACAAACTGAGCAAGCCATGGGGAGCAAGGCAGTAAGTAGTATTCCTCCATGGCCTCTGCTTCAGTTCATGCCTAGAGGTTCCTGCTTGAGTTCATGCCCTGACTTCCCTTGATCATGGACTTCAAACTGCAAGGTAAAGTTAACCCTTTTCACTTTAAATTGCTTTGGCTCAGCCTTCATCCCAGTAATACAAAATCAAACTAAGACACTGGGTATGGCATAAGGTTTGTATATATGAGCTATGACAGCACATCACATGTGACATCATCATATTCTAGTTCTCAAAATTAGAATGTTTGCAATGAACTATTGCTGAGACTTAGCACATTTTAATTTTAGGAAAAAAATTCCTGAGACGAAAGAGTTTGAGGCTGGATATCAAATACATCTTTTACTTCTTCGTAAATTGTCCTAGCACAACAGAGCTATAAAATGTGGCTTGGAAAACAAATTACCTTAATTTCCTACAGAGATTTTCATACTCATTTACAACATTCTGGTTTTCCAACTTGTTTCCTAAAATGTAGAACGAGAGAAATCGTTAAGAATTAATAACAGAAGGATGCCTATATGTTTGTCTTTGGATTCACCTTCTTATTTAGCTTCTCTAGGATTGCGAATTATAGGCTCAATGTCCTTTATTTATGGCTAGAAACCAAATATGAGTGAGTACATCCCATGTTCCTCTTTTTGGGTCTGGCTTACCTCACTCAGGATAGTGTTTTCTATTTCCATCCATTTGTATGCAAAAATTCAAGAAGTCCTTGTTTTTTACTGCTGAGTAGTACTCTAATATGTATATATTCCATACTTTCTTCATCCATTCTTCCATTGAAGGGCATCTAGGTTGTTTCCAGGTTCTGGCTATTACAAACAATGCTGCTATGAACATAGTTGAGCATATACTTTTGTTGTATGATAGGGCCTCTCTTGGGTATATTCCCAAGAGTGGTATTGCTGGGTCCAGGGGTAGGTTGATCCCGAATTTCCTGAGAAACCACCACACTGCACACTGCTTTCATCAGGCGATGAAAGGAGACAGAGACAGAGACCCACATTGGAACACCGGACTGAAATCTCAAGGTCCAAATCAGGAGCAGAAGGAGAGAGAGCACGAGCAAGGAACTCAGGACCGCGAGGGGTGCACCCACACACTGAGACAATGGGGATGTTCTATCGGGAACCCACTAAGGCCAGCTGGCCTGGGTCTGAAAAAGCATGGGATAAATCCGGATTCTCTGAACATAGCGGACAATGAGGACTACTGAGAACTCAAGAACAATGGCAATGGGTTTTCGATCCTACTGCATGTACTGGCTTTGTGGGAACCTAGGTAGTTTGGATGCTCACCTTACTAGACCTGGATGGAGGTGGGTGGTCCTTGAACTTCCCACAGGGCAGGGAACTTTGATTGCTCTTCGAGCTGATGAGGGAGGGGGACTTAATCGGGGGAGGGGGAGGGAAATGGGAGGCGGTGGCGGGGAGAAGGCAGAAATCTTTAATAAAAAATAAATTAAATAAAAAATGAAAAAGAAAAAAAGAAGGCAAAAAAAGAATCAATAACAGAAAAAATTAGACAACAGCTAAATTGAAGGTATAAGTGATCCCATCTGACATATTCACACCCATCCCCTTTCCATAATCCAATTCTTACATCAGAACGGATAAACTAGAAACACTTGTCCTGTGGTGGACTAGAAAAGGCAATGCTCAGGTACCTATAGAAGCCAGGTTCCTCAAGGTTTCCCGCATCACATCTTTGTACAGCTGCTTCTGGGATGGATCTAGCAGAGCCCATTCCTCCCGGGTGAACTTCACAGTCACATCCTCAAAGGTCACTGGCTCCTAAAAGCACACACATATATTTCCAGGACAGTCAGCCCCATGGTCCTGGAGATGCACACAGTGAAAGACCCCAGTGCTGGGCAGTCTTTCAGGCTGAGGAGACCCTCCCAAGGAACAGCGAGTCACTCTTCGGATGCAAATAGCAAGAGGCTTTATTTAATACACAGGTACCTGGGGCGACTTAGTCTCTCGGAAGACAAGCGCGCCTGCAGACTGGGGGAAGGTCTTTTTATAGGAAAGAGGGCAGCAGAAGCAGATTACAGAAGCAAATGCATCGTTAGTGGTCAGTTGGAATGGGGCAAGGGGCACAGGTGGTTTTTCCTCTCCCAGCACAGATGTATGGGAACAGACATCCTGTTAATTGATGTCCTGTCCTAATCTATGGATATAAAGATCCTGTTTTGCAGCCAGGGACCCTGACCTTACTCTGCACTTACAGTCGTTCGTCAAAAGCTTTGTGAAATGACGTTACAGCAGATAAGCTGGGATCTTTCATAGGGGGAGTTGTCTTCTTCTGTGAATTACTGACATTCTAAGTTGGGCACATGTGCTGACTATGCAAACGGGAGGTTCTCATTAGAGCAGGCCAGCTGCGGGTTCCTTATCGCTTGGGGCCAGGTGGCTGACCGGCTGACCGCAGATATCTCGCCTGGCTTCTCCACCCTTGTTTTCAAGTCGAACTTCCCTGTTCTAATTACTTGCGTTGCTCCAAAGTTTAAGCCTTGCAAAATGGCATTACTGCTGCTTAGTGAGTGGGGGTCTTTCAACAGGATTAATAAGAAGTTGACATGACACTATGTTCCACAAGTGTTCATGTTGTCTTGATCATCACACTGTACTGCTCATACAGACTAAGATTCCCCAAACACAAATGCTACAAGTAAACTGGAGCTTTCTGGGAAGGAAACATCAGGACAGCACGAGCTCTGGTGCAGATAATTTTCTAGTTTCTCTTTCGGCATCTCATCTTCCTAACTACTCTCATCACAAAATCTGATTGTCTACTACTCACCAGGGACTCAATAGCAACTGTCCTTAGAATGTGTGTGCTTTTAGAAATGTTGGACAAAACAGTCACCTGGTATCTGGGGACTGAGATCTGCAGTGAGTCCTTCCCCTCATATGTTACGGGAGGTCCTCCCACTCCTCCAGCCTATCGATGCTGAGATACCAGCCCATTGGGGCGTGGTCTCTCTCCCTTTAAAAAAGCGGCCACTTCTCTCTCCTCTCTCTCTTCACTTCCTGCTCCACTGGCGACTAGACTCCCTTCCTGGTTGCCCAGAGGGCTGACGGTGATCTGTAAGTTTTTTCCCCTTTAAATAAATACCACCCTATTAATCATAATTCCAAACTGGTGTGGCATTGTTTATGACTTACGCCTTCACTCATAGCTGTGAAGAATGTGGGAGAGTTCTCAGACAGTTGATGACAACTATATCCAAAGTTTAAAACCCTAGGAACAACAACAACAACAATAAAAGCACAAGAACAACACCTCTTCTCCCTTAGAAGCTTTGCAATAATTTCACAGGCATCAGATAAATGTTATCTGGTTAATCCTGAATATTTTCTCTAGCTGATGAATCTAGTTTGGTAGACATTACTTACAATGTTTTTATGCCTTAATTTTCGTTGTGTATGCATGGGGGTGAACAAGCATGCCACAGTGCTCTTGTGAAGGTCAGTGACAACTTGTGGGAGCAGGGAGCAGGTTTTCTCTTTCTAGCTTAACATACCAGCAGCTTGCATAGCAAGTGCCTTTACCCGCTGAGCCATCTCAGCAGGCCTCTAGTTAATACTCCTTAAAACTTGTTAGGAAACTGAGCACATCTCCTGTGGTTGCACTAGAGGCCAGTATTAGAAAGTACATAGCTGGGTTCTTTGTCCTATTCCTCAGCAAACAACAACACAGGACTCATGATGAATAATTCGTTTCATTTGTATCCTTATTTGCTGTCTGTTGCTGTGCTAAAACATGATCAAATGTTGCTTGGGCAGGAAAGTGTTTATATGGACTACAGGTTACAGCCAATCACTGAGGGAAGTCAAGACAGGAGACTCAAGAAGGATATGCCAGGGGGCTGGAGAGATGGCTCAGTGGTTAAGAGTATTGCCTGCTCTTCCAAAGGTCCTGAGTTCAATTCCCAGCAACCACGTGGTGGCTCACAACCACCTGTAATAGGGTCTGGTGCCTTCTTCTGGCCTGCAGGAATACAGGAAGAGTCTTTGACCTTGAGTCTACAGACTCAAAAAGTCAGTTACATAATTTTATACTCAGAGAGGAAAGAACCAGGGCATAGTGATAACGACATCAAGGCAAACTCAGCTTCTAACAGTGCAAACAATCTAGTGTCCCATCTCTAGTGTAGATGCATCATTTCTGGGCTCCCAAGGTCTTAGCCCCACTTTTCCAGGTCTGCTGTTGATAGCACACATAGATTTTCCTAAACTCAAGCTGGAATCACACCACATCTGCTACTGTCCCGCTGGTCATTCTGTTCTGCTGGCATCTCCAGTATGCTGGTGGGTCTACTCTATTTGAAGCTCATTTAGAATGTGCATAATATTGTGGATTCAAATTTTTGTTGAACAGTTATGGGAATATCTAATGCTCTCAAGGAGACATACTCCATCATACATGAATACCATTATTTCATTTGTAGCACTCCTCAAGGGGTCTTGGAAAGCATTGCAGCCCAAACATGTTACAGGCGATTTCTCAGCATGAAGCCAACATTTCTTTCTTCCAGTCATTAGTAAACAGTCTTAGTCATGTGCTCTTAACCTGTTTTGCAGCAGTCAAGTGGTAGAGAAATTCCGTGACTGTAAAGTAAGTCTTCAGTGTCCAGAAATCCTCAGCTGTATTCCAGAGCCCTCTGTGAACCTGAAATCTTGTTCAGAACTTGCCACACGTGAAAAGCATGTGTGTGGAGAAGAAAGTATTGGCCGTTCATCTCTAGGTGTGCCCCTGAACCATCAGGAAGGACAGAAACCTCATGAAGACCAGGACTATGGACAGAAGTTGTATAAACATAAGGGATTTGAAGGCAGCTCCAGTTCTCCTCTGTCCCTTCAGACAAATAAAAGTGCTCACACTGGAGGGAAACCTTCTAAAAATAAGGAGTGCAAAGAAGACCTTCTTTGTCTCCGATCTGGTCAAAGGAATGACGGTCGTGCCCATGCAAAGAAGTCTCACGTATGTAAACAGTGTGGGAAATGCTTTTCATATCTCGATTTCTTAAAAACACATGAAAAGATTCGTTGTGGTAAAAATACCCATGTATGTGAACTGTGTGGGAAAGGCTTCGTTAGGTTAGGTTACCTTATAAGACATAAAATAATAATTCACACTGTTGAGATGTCTTCTGTATGTAATCATGATGCAAAGTCCTATGTGTGTAATCAGCGTAGGAAAACTTCTTCTCGTTCAGCTTCCCTTTGAAGACACACAAGAATTCACACTGGAGAGAAACCGTATGTATGTAAGCAATGTGTGAAAGCCTTCATTACTTCTAGTAACCTTCAAGTACATGAATGAACTCACACTGGGGGGAAAACCGTATGTATGTAAGGATTGTGGGGATGCCTTCAGGCTTTTGATTCAGTTGCAAAAGCATGAAGTAATTCACAGTGGCGTGAATCCCTTTCTTTGCAAGCAATGTGGGAAAAGCTTTACTTGTTCCGGCTCCCTAAAAACACATGAAAGAATTCACACTGGTGAGAAGCCCTATGTGTGTGATCACTGTGGGAAAACCTTTGCTTGTTCTAGTACCCTTAAAACACATATTCATACAGGAGAGAGACCGTATGTATGCAAGCAATGTGGGAAAACCTTTCGTTATTCTTTTTATATTCAAAGACATGAACAAACCCACAGCAACAAGAGACCCTATGAGTGTAAGAAGTGTGCGAAAGGATTTATATCTTCTAATCAGCTGGAAATACACGGAAGAACTCACACTGGAGAGAGAGACCTTATGTATGTAAGAAGTGTGAGAAGGGCTTCTTAAGATATCGTTTGGGAAGACATGCACTAATTCATAGAAAAGATATTTGTAACATGAGACAGTCTTCTCTTTTTTAAATGTACTTTTTAAAAAGATTTATTTACTAGTGATGTATACTAGTGTCCTGGCTGCATGTATCCCTGCCCGCCAGAAAAGGACACCAGATCTCATTACAAATGGCTGTGAACCACCATGTGGTTGCTGGGAATTGAACTCAGGACCTCTGGGAGAGCAGCCAGTGCTCTTAACCTCTGAGCCATCTCTCCAGCCCAAAACAGCCTCCACTTAATCTGCTCTCACAGAAATCAAACTACACGAGAGTGAAAGTTTATGTTTAAAATGTGGGAAAATGTCATAATGGAGAGAAAGAACTGGGGTTCTGTTGTTGGATTTTTTTGTTTGTTTGTTTGGTTGGTTGGTTTGGTTTTTGGTTTTTGAAAACAGGGTTTTGTTGTATAGCCCTGATTGTCCTGGAACTTATTCTGTAGACCAGGTTGGGCTTGAACTCAGAGAGATCCACTTGCTTCTGCTTCCCAGGTGCTGGGATTAAATGCGCATGCCACCACAGTAGGGCTTGAGAAGCTATATATTTTTTTAATCCGATGGGGCTTTTAGTATTAGAAAGGCTACACGTAATGCGAGAAAGTCGTCTTTATTCTTTTAATTGTGTCAAAAGAAGTAAAATAGCCCACACTGGAGAGAAACCTTATGTACACAGTGAAGAAAGCTTTTAGTTCTCTCCGGGCCCTCAAAAAATATTCAAGTTAATATTTCGGAGAGAAATTGTTCATACATGGGAAATCTTCCAAATTTTTCAATTATCCCAGGTTCTTTTACAGACATGAATATACTCACTGTAGGTTAATAAAGGATTTGTAAAATATTCATTATCAGTTTTACAACATTTAAAAGAATGTATCTTGAGAACTCATTGTTGCAAAATATGTGAGAAAATTCTGGATCAACTCAAAAATTAAGAAATAACAAGGTTGGTTAAAAGAGACAATTGGGGTCCGGCAGTGGTGATGCTCATTTTTAATTCCAGCACTCAGTAAGCAGAGGCAGGCATATCTCCACGACAGCCAGGAGATATGCCTGAAAAATGAGAATTGGGTCCAGGGGGTTGTGCAAAGATGGGGGCAGATCACCGAAGTCTACTAAATCAGAAGCAAACTTTATCTCAGAAACCAAAATCCAAGAAAAAATAAAAAATAAAATAAAATATCTCCATGGAGCACAAAAAGCTTATCAGCTAGCTGAGACCACAGCCAGAGATGGATTTGTAAGGCTGTGGCAAAGGCTGTTTTCTAAACCCACCTTTTTCTTTTTCTACTAGGGGCACTAGGCATTAGGTCTGAACAAAGGAATTTTTACAATCTCAAGGTAAAACTCAGATACAGATTGCCTTACTTTACAATCTTCATTAACAGAGCTTTTCAATTAAACTAGTGTTTGTACTTTATTGTCTTCCTTGGTACTTCCAGATGGTGTTTACTGAAGCTCTGTGTTCTCCCCTTTGATGCTGCCAGTTTCACATAGCAGGGATAATGCGTAACCCAGAGGTCAAATATCTATTTCTTAAAAGTTGACTCAGCTCATATCTGTAGGCCAGCTCTCAGTTTGCAGAGAGATGGTTTGGCTTTGTAAGTAGAGCTATGGGTTATAAAGCAGAGTAACCCACTGTTAATAGTTAATCCTTAAGCTGCTGAGAAAGCTGCTGACAGTCTGTTCTCATTCTCCTAGGCTTACAACTTTATATTTCTTTATTTCTACATTCCTGTTTCTGGAATCTACATTTTTATATTCTTACTCTTGGACTCTTCAATTGACACACATGCGCACTCACTTCAGATCTAATTTTCTGCTATAAGAATGACAAAAATCTGTGCCATATCAGGTGTAATAGCAAATACTGGAGAAGTCCCTTGAAAATCCCTCAGGCTCATTCTGACAAATGCCAGCAATACAAAGGACTGAACACTTTTTTTTTGGGGGGGGGGCGTTTCTTTGCTTTATCCAGAAAATACATACTGTAAATGAAACGTCATATTTTGCTATTCTAAGGTGACCCTGAATTGGCCATCTTCTGGCGTTAGCTTTCCTGATGTTCCCAGGCAAGGTGTCAGCCTCCACATCCAGCAGTATAGTTCATTTTTAAAGATCCATGTCTGGGGTCCAGATTTCTAATTTTTATTGTTGAAAGTTAGCACTAATCCATCCATGTAGGTGAAGTGGATTGATCACTTTCACCCAGCAGGGGAGACCTTCATCTGAAAAGAAAATCATGAGAATAAAGCAAAGTATAATGAAATGATCTTGTCGTTTGCTGAAGAGCTAGTGTGTGAGTTTAATGAATGATGTGTTTTTATACATGAGTTAGTTTTATCTTTCATCTGGTTTTGTTTTATTTAGCAGCCCATCGATATTTTAATATGGAAGTATTTATTAATACTATTTTATTATGCCAGGCAGTGATGGTGTGTGCCTTTAATGCCAGCACTTGGGAGGCAGAGGTAAGAGGATCTCTGTAAGTTCAAGGCCAGCCTGCTCTACAAAGCAAGTTCCTGGGCAGCCAGAGCTACATAGAGAAACCTTGTCTCGAAAAAAAAAATTAACAAAATAAAAACAAACAACAAAAAAAGTATTTTGTTCCATCAATTTAGTTAGTAGGCCATTGGTTTTTTTTTTTTTTTTTTTTGGTTTTTTCGAGACAGGGTTTCTCTGTGGTTTTGGAGCCTGTCCTGGAACTAGCTCTTGTAGACCAGACTGGTCTCGAACTCACAGAGATCCGCCTGCCTCTGCCTCCCGACTTTAATCCCAGCACTCGGGCCATTGGTTTTTTTAATGAATATTGAGAGTCTGACATTCTTGGCTATAGCCTCATTCATTTTTGCTTTTGTTGGTATTGGGTTTTTTTGTTTTGTTTTTGAGACAGGCTCGTATTGTCTAGCACAGGATAACCTAAAATTCATAACGTAGAGGAGGCTAGCCTTGAGCTCCCAGAGATCCAACTATGTATGCCTCATGAATGTCTAAGTCATTATTTTCCATGAATTAAAAAGCCATTTAAAGATTATACGTGGTGTGTGTTAGTGAATTATGAACATGTTTTCTTGTTCTATTACACTGCTTTCTTTCTTGAAAGGGGGTCAGAGCTGGACTGGCAGTCAGGAAGATGTGATTTATTACCTATCTGTACCAATATAGCTCTGAGGATAAAAGCAGGCTTGTGATGAAAACCCGCCTTCTATGCACGTACTAGGGATTCAGGCTCAGTTACTCATACCTGCACAGCAAATTCTCCTAACCCACTTGAGTCATCTCCTGAGCCGTAGCCACTTTTATTTCTGTATTGATTTATATCCATTCTTTTATGTGTATGCTTATTTTTCTCTTTGATGACTCTGATGTTTTTTATTTGCCGACCTGTCTTCAGTTTTGATCGATTTTCCATTCACTTTTAGAATAACAAATGTTAACCTTCCCATCTAATCAGATGGTAGGGTTAAATACATTATACATATACACACATACATACATACACACACATATACATATATACACACATTTGGGGGGATTGGTTCCTTTTGAATTTTGCAACACGATCTTTTTTTTATGTAGCCGTGACTCTCCTGGAACTTGCTGTGTAGACCAGGCTGGACTCAAACTCACAGAAATCTACCTGTCTGTTCCTCCCAAGTGCTGAGATTAAAGGTGGGCACCACCAAGCTAAATCATAAGTCAGACCATGTTTACAAGTTTGCTATTTTTTTCTTTTCTTTTATGTGGCTAGCTACCTGTGTTATATACATCTAATTACAGAGTTTTTCTTTTGTAAATTTGTGTTTACAATGATTTTTATCCTTTTTATTGTCATTTCTTCAATCATTCTAAAAGATAAGTTGATATTTGTGTCCACTTGGTAAAGATCGTGTGCACCATAGACTTGGTAATTTCCACTAAATGTGTTCATATGCGGTGAGTGAGCTGTGTCTTCCCAGAAGCAATAGTTTTCTGGCAGAGGACTAGCAGGAGTTGAATGTAATTCTATATTTGTGAAATCATACCTGTGAATTTTTCAAAGGCCTCAGTAATGAAGTGAAGAGAAATTTAGTATCTTAGAAATAATAGGCAGATTGGTAAGGAGAGGGGACTGTGTTTACTGCCATGACTCAACATGTTTTATACTTAGCAGATTTTGCAAATAACCTAACAGGAAGCCCCATGTCTTCTGCTGTGGTCTGTAAAGAGCAGTGGTATGGCACATGGAATTCCAGCAGCTTTGCCCCTGCTGTGTGAGATGAAGACCAGGGCTCTAGTGCCTTATGAACACTAAAATATTTTCCATGATATATTGGATACTGTTCTTTAGAAATACAATTTTTCCATGGTTTTTCAATAAGATACATGATCATAGCCTCTTGGTAAGGTGAAAATATGTTGAAAAATGCATTTTACACTTAATTCTATGACGGTTACATCTCTAACCATTTTCAGATTATTCACCTTAACCTGTGATGTGGAAGGACATTTTTGCGTTTTATTTTTTGACACATGGTCTCACTGTTTAACCCCTAATGGCCTGGAACTTGCTATATAGACCAAACTAGTCTCAGACCACAGAAATTTGCCTGCCTCTGCCTCCTGAATGCTGGAATTAACAATCATGTGCCACAGTGCCTGGCAAGACAGATCTCCTTTGATGACCTGTCTCTTTTTGAAAAAGTTTTTAAACCATTAGCAAGCATTATTTTATGTAAATTAATGGTAAACTAGCTTGCTTTAGGTTGCTGGGATAAACATCAGGGCCCAAGGAAGGAGAAAGGAACATGGAGGACGAAAAGGTTTATTTCATCAAAGTGGGAATCAGTGTAGGCACCTAGAGACAAGAATTGAAGCACAGGCCGTGGAGAAATGCCGCTTGCTGGCTTGTTCCTCATAGCTCCCTCAACCTTCTTTATTATACAACCCTGGGCCATTTTCCCAGGGGTAGCACTATCCGC